AGACAGCCTCAATAATACTACTTGCATAAGAGGCATTCCTAAGCTCACCTGTTTATTGCTTCGAGGTAATTACGTTGATTATTCAAATCAAATGGGGGCAGTCGCTCAGGAAATAGTGATTGATGTTTGCGGCTGCCTCAATTTGAATAGAAACATAAAATACATGATAAAATCAATGTTTTCTTTTATTTTTACCGCAAAACAAATTACCTCTACATTTACTAACTGTACACATCCATACACAAATAATGATGTTGTTGCATTATTCACAAGATAAAGTAAAACTATGGAAAGGTCCCAATGCCTTGGGATTTTCTAATAAAGCAATGAACAAAAATTAGGTTCTTGTCAATAAACAAAACAGAAAAACACAGTAAACTTATATCACGTCACAAATATTGTCTTTATTTATGCAGCTGGTACATTTAAAATAAAAAGCCGGCTTTTCCTTTTTTCTAAAACCAAATTTGTAGTTTCTAGCGTTGGATGTTATTTGCCAGGGATGCGATTTATTGTAAATCGCAGCTCACGAGTTAAGCGCGTACTCTCTAGTCGCTTTTCGTGGAGCAGGCTAGCGACCACCCTCTCGTAAATACGGATTTCTCCCTCAACAATTCGTTTTTTCCTAACACTGCGTAAGATGTATGAATTTTCTACAGAAATATCTAATTTTCGGTAAAAAATAATTGCCAAAAAGCCAACGGACCTGCTTCTTCTCCATATTCGTGAGCTTTTCCTCTTAGAACTGGAACCTTCATGACTAGATTATGTTTTCTTGTATGTGGTGGTGGTAGAACTTCCGAAACGTTCCACCTATAACTATTTTCTCCATAGAAATAATTATCAGCTTGTAAATCATCCCTATTTTCTTCTTCTTGTTCTGATATAATTCACTATCACTTTCATGGTCTGGTTCTATAATATCGTCTTCTGGCGCACTGTCTATAAGACTGAAATCACTTCCTATTCAAACGATTTTAGAACAATTCGTTCGACACAGGAACGAAGAGGCTGATAGACTACAACAAACAACAATTTGACCATATTTTTGAACCGCTTTGCGAAGATTCCCGAGTTATATTGCTGCCATTTAACATTGCATGCATTTTCGTGGAAAAGTATTACCAGAGAAGAAACGGATCAAGAAGAAGCCAGCATTTAGAAGAAATCGAAATTCAACTCAAGAGGCACGAAGTTTTGTCTGTGCCCTCCAAAACTTCATCTTAAGGGTGGAGGAGTCATGTTGCTGTCATTTAACACTTTATTAATGGATATAATAATTGCATTGTATTCCGTTTCACTAGTTCATCACTTTTGGTTTATATTAACGATTGTATCTTTATTATGAGTCAGTCACAGTCACTGTAATTCCGGTTCGGTCCATGTACAGTATTTTTGGAACCAAATAAAGTTTTTTTAAAACAAAGTTTGAAGTTCCAACTACATAATTCCTGCGAATCTGGCTGGGGGTGGGTCACTAATTGATTAGGTGTTATATGGTCAGCTATAGAAACGCCGCATCTCACAAACGGCGCGTCTCCGGTAAAGGATTATGCTGTCTCATATAGTTCCACCGGACTATCTGATAATAGAAAATAGTACGTCGAATCACTGTTCACGACACGAGTATCTCCGCTTCAAAATTCAGAGCATTCAAGTTGCGAATACACGGATAAGCTATTACCCAGAGTTTTGCTGATAATTCGAAAATTTACGAGCACAATTCGGTTTTATTAGACTTTTTGCACCATCCATAATGTAGAGACAGTTATTTATACCTTTCCCGTATGCAGCCGGCACTCATAATTTCTCTTTTGTTGACACTTATTAGATTACAGGGAATTACATAGTCCGAGCTCATACAGGTGAAAAATGGCCCGGATGGAAACCAGCGACATTAGTTATGGTTGTGAACAGCCGTGATTTTGCGTTCTAATTCCCGTCGCGTTGATACGGAAGTTGCCACGTGTTTTATCTTCTTTTCAAAGTCAGGTGGATTAGGACATGAACAAAAAATATCGAATTACATAACAGGCAAAGCTTCGAAATAGCGGATTCTGTCGCGGTACATATAGCGGTATCTCTGGTCGCTGAAACGCTGTCAGGCATCTGGGTGTTTTCATTCTCTGCCTGTGATAAATAAATCAAAAAGACTCTGTTTCAAAGACAAGCTTTTATTTAGTTGATGATAGAACGAACTAAATATTTAAAAGTATTTGGATCGATTGGAGATATTTAAACGATTAAGTTTTCAAATAGACGCATGTTACACCCTTCTTCCATTCTGCTGACAAAGAAAGCTTCTCAAAAACGATCTGAGCTTTTCTGCCAGTACCTCTTCTACTGGTGACTCTCTATTTGAATTGAATTGAATTTCAGGAAAGGTTGAAATGAAGAGGAACTATGGAATAAGAAGCAAATGTAACGATTGTATCCACAAAACGACTCAGTTGCAAGCTAGCTTGCAAGCTGTCGAGATTTACGTTTTTCCTCTCAAAGCATCCCGTAGCACCAAGTAGTGATTTAAGCCCTATATCAAACTCTTAGTTATGAACCTTCCTGTACATATTCCTAACATAAAGGCCTCATACCAGGCACGCTAATTTGTATAATACGATGGACCCGTTCGCTCCCTTACGGCTACGCCAATGGGTTTTGCTCCTTAGAGCTCTTCTTCATGATGCCGCCGTGTGGTGTGCCTGCCACGTTACTGTTCTCATGTCGCTCATTAAATATTTCTGCTGTTCTATGAGCGCAGTGATTATTTCCGAAAAATATTGCGATAATTTCAACTAATTCTGCTGTGGAATATGCCATGGTTAATTTATGTAATAAAGCGTTACAAGTTATTTTAGCAACAAAGTTTGGTCAAATCAATCGCAAACTATGTACTAGATTCCTATATAAAATAAGTACGAGATATTTCCTTATCTTTCTTCAAGAAATAACTTCTTTGCCACAAAAAAACGCTCCAATAGCTATTTTCAACAACAAAATGATAAACAAACCATGGGCGTAGTGAAGAAAAGCATTTACTTATTAAGTAAATTCTTTTAGTCAAATTTCTTCTGAAAGTAGTACAAACTAATCTGATGTACCTATTAAAGTCTACTTTAAGCTTTAAATCAATAAATCTTAAAAACCACTGAACTGTATTTTACATCATTATAAAGGGAATTGAAAGACCTTTAAAATAAGGTATCACTCGAACCCCCTTTCCATTTAAGATTTTGGGGGTGGTGTCACCCCCGCTTAGGGGGCTGCACGTGCTAACGTGCTTTTCTGCCAAACTTGTGTCCCCCTCGAAAACAAAATCGACGGGTCTAAGCGTTTTTCAAATAAAAACTGAGCTGCCAGTAAATGCGTCTGTTTCGTTTTCGATGTGCCACCCTGTATAATTGTACACCATATGCATTGTTATCGGAAATATATCACCGGAATATATGAGCCAAGGGTAACGTGTCTCATTTAAGTTAAACTAGTAAAAAACACAAATAAATATGAATGTGCTGAAGAAAGAAGCACATAAATATTGGCTGCCTGAACCACACAAAGAAGTGGCAAGGCTCTCTCTAATTCATTTCATCTACCTCCAATCAATCCTTAAAACGAAGCTTTGAAAGCGCCTCCTGAAAAATCACAAGTTTTGAGCAAGTAGATCGACGATACGTGCATATAATTTCTGTAATCACCTATTTTGGATTTCTTTCGTAACTCAACCCTGTATCTAACCTAAATAAGTACAGAACCCTTTCTGCGTAAAATGTAACGTTTATGGTAGAGTTTTCTTCCATGCATCACTTACCACTGATCTATACACAATTCCACACTTTTGTGGCGTCACCGTTTTTTCGCTGATTCAACTAGAAATAGATTTACTATAATTGTAGGCTAGAAACAACTGGTGAAGAAGTTCAAATATCAAAGTGATTTTATTTACCGTAACCTGAAAAGTACTAAACGCATAAATATGATAAGCCTTTATACCCTTGTATCGCAGCAACAACAAGAGCATTTATAGTATTCCAGGTACATTTCATTTGCATCGAATTTTGCCGAATAAGCTGTAATATTGAATATTCAACCGAACATACAGCACGGAACGTAGAATAAAACATTCGCATGCCGCCGGTCCCTTGTGAGTACGCTTGTTTTCACTAAAACATTAAACGCGATTTAGACCGCAGTATTAGCGGCAGGCAGGCGAAAATTACGACAAATTTGCTTTGTATCACGCGCCGAAACATAACATAAACTTAATTTAACTCACAATTTTCCGCTAGCTTGCGCTGCGGGATGCGGGCGGTATCAAAACTTTCGAATTATCACAAATTGTGGAAACACGCAAGTACACAGATAATGTATACCAACGGCGGTAGTATAGTTAGCATTTTTTTGTTATCTCGTTTTCCAGATTGCCACATTTATCCTTTTCAAAAGCCAGACGTTTACTACGTTTGGGACCTCGGTTGGCCGCGTGGGTCAGAGTCTCGTGCTACTGATCAGCCGGCCGGCCGGGCCGCGAGTTCGAATCTCGCCTTCGCCATGGATGTTGTGTGTTTGTTTTAGGCAGCAGCGGTGGCCGCAGTAGTAGACTCTTCGGTCTCCTGATCAGCCGCCGTGCGGGTTCGAGTCCCGTCCCAGGAGAAATGTTTCTCTTGGCCATGGATGTTGTGATTGTCCGTAGGTGGTAGATGGTCTCTGACTGTCGAACGCGGAGGTACCACCCGGCGGTTCTCGTAGGCGGAGCCAGAATGTGTGCATGTTGCATGCACACGTGTTCCCTCGCCAGAGTCCGTGTGGCGTCCCCCCTTTCCCATGTATCCCCCATAGCCCCACGGTACCCAATGGGTGCTTAGGCGTTAGGCCTTCGTGGTAGTTGGAGTATAAAAAAAAAAAAAAATAAAGACGGATCTTGTATAATGTCAAAAATATGAACAAAAATAATGCCTTTATGGGAATAGTAGTAATATTAATAATAATAATAATAATAACGATAGTAAGGATAATGAAGATAGTAATGATAATGATATTGATGATAATGATGATAATGATGATAATGATGATAATGATGATAACGATGATAACGATGATAACGATGATAACGATGATAACGATGATAACGATGATAACGATGATACGATGATAACGAAGATAACGAAGATAACGACGATAACGACGATAACGACGATAACGACGATAACGACGATAACGACGATAACGACGATAACGACGATAACGACGATAACGACGATAACGACGATAACGACGATAACGACGATAACGACGATAACGACGATAACGACGATAACGCGATAACGACGATAACGACGATAACGATAACGACGATAACGACGATAACGACGATAACGACGATAACGACGATAACGACGATAACGACGATAACGACGATAACGACGATAACGACGATAACGACGATACGACGATAACGACGATAACGACGATAACGACGATAACGACGATAACGACGATAACGCCGATAACGACGATAACGACGATAACGACGATAACGACGATAACGACGATAACGACGATAACGACGATAACGACGATAACGACGATAACGACGATAACGACGATAACGACGATAACGACGATAACGACGATAACGACGATAACGACGATAACGACGATAACGACGATAACGACGATAACGACGATAACGACGATAACGACGATAACGACGATAACGACGATAACGACGATAACGACGATAACGACGATAACGACGATAACGACGATAACGACGATAACGACGATAACGACGATAACGACGATAACGACGATAACGACGATAACGACGATAACGACGATAACGACGATAACGACGATAACGACGATAACGACGATAACGACGATAACGACGATAACGACGATAACGACGATAACGACGATAACGACGATAACGACGATAACGACGATAACGACGATAACGACGATAACGATAATAACGATAATAACGATAATAATGATTATAAGGATAATAATGATAGTAACGATAATAATGATAGTAACGATAATAATGATAATAATGATAATAATGATAATAATGATAATAATGATAATAATGATAATAATGATAATAATGATAATAATGATAATAATGATAATAATGATAATAATGATAATAATGATAATAATGATAATAATGATAATGATGATAATAAAGATAATAATGATAGTGATGATAATGATGATAATAAAGATAATAACGACTATAATGTTGAGCCAGCCACCAACAAACAAGAGCTGAGAAATTGGAAAGATAATAATGATGACAATAATGATAATAATAAAAACCCGGAGACCTGAGACAACGATAGTCAAGAAAGGCGCTTCATGGAACGCATATCCATAATAGCAACATAGGATTGGCTGAAATAAGGTCTTATATATCCTCAGACAGAAGCGTTTGAGATTACTATCCAGGACCAAGTTATAAACACACGGAACTACGAGAAGTACATCCTGATAGATCCCTCCCTCGAAACAGATAAATGCCAAAAAGGTAACATGTTTTCAAAGATCATAGACCACACCGCATCTGGATGTAAACTTATACCTTCCACGGAATACATAACAATGTAGGAAAATTTTAACACAAGGCGCTAGCGAACAGACATGGGCTGACATGATGTGAAGAATCATTTTATAAATGCACACCAGAAGCTGTAATGGAAACCGCAACACAGAAAATATAATGAGACCACCATATCCTCACAGACAAGAAAATTGTTGCTAATCGACCTGACAAAACAGTCATCAACAAGATGAAGGGTGTAACCACCTGACTGATGTGGCAGTACCTTGCGATTATAACACAAAGACCAAATATGATGGAAAATTCGAAAAATATATTCCTCTTGCACAAGAAATCAGACTACGGAAACAAAATAAGGTGGAGATAATACCGATGATAGTATCAATGACATATAACATACCACAGTGACTTACAAGCAATCTAATTGGACTGTCAAGATACATATACGAGGGATGTCTTTTAAGTTTTGCTTATGGAAATAAAACAACACGGTAGGTAGTGTTAAATAACTTTATTGTTTTTCGAAGTATCCTCCAAGAAGATTAAAACACATCTGCATGTGCTCGAACCAATTTTCGAAGCACTTAGTCCACTCGTTTGCTGGCAGATCCGAAACGGCATTTTTGAAATGCTTCTTCTGGTGACTGGAACCTTTGACCACGCGGTCTGTTTTTAATTTTCGGGAAAGTAAAGAAATCGTTAGGACTTAGATCTGGACTATATGGAGCATGGTACCAGTAATTGCACGTTTTCTTAGGTTAAATACTGCCTTGTTTTTTGGGCTGTGTGCGAGCTTGCTCTGTCTTGGTGGAGGATGATTCTTCTTTCGGGGTTGATTTTTCGAAGCTCTTTGATGACTTTTGGCAAACAAATGGTGATATACCAATCCGCAGTAACGGTTTTTTGCTCATTAAAAGGAATTGTTGCAATATGACCCGCTTTTGACACAAATGTCGCGACCATCTTTTTCGAAACACTTCGAAGGATGACTTTTGTTGTCTTTTCTTCACCTTGGAGCACCCAAACAGCTAACTGTCGTTCATTTGCTGGTCCATAACAGTAAATCCACGATTCGCCACCACTAATAATGCTGTACACATTTTTTCAGTTTGAATTGAGGTCTTTGAGATCTTCAAGGACGCCTCAATCTCGAGATATGTCACATGTCTATCTTCAATGACGAGTTTGCGCACAGCATCGACGTTTTCCTGGGTGACTGCCGTTTTTGATGCACCCACCCTGGAATGGTCGCTAAGACTCACCTGTCCACGTTTGAATTCTCCATATCAACGGGAAATTGTCGACTGATGTGGCGCTTCGTTGCCGAAAACAGACAGTAACTCAGCAAGGCGTTCTTGTTGCGATAATTGTCTCTGGAAGTTGTAATAAATTATGGCGCGAAAATGTCGAGTTCCATTTTTCTAATGACTTGGTGTCACTTAAAAATTCACTGCAGTAAAAACACTGCACGTATTATTGTGAAACTTTGAACTTAAGTTTACTAAAGAGTGAGGTTAAGATTCAGTACTGTCGTTCGATCCGCGCGGCCTACTAAGTTTCTATATGAAAAACTTAAAAGACATCCCTCGTACTCTCCCAAACACAGAAAGCAGTTAAACTCCGCACCGCGATCATTGTAAGGAAATGTTTACAATAGAATTAGTTATATGAACTTGGTTTAACCCGTTCGTGTATCATCATTACCATACTAAAATCTGTGCGAAACATCTGATGATCATAATAATAATAGCAAAACGTAGTTATTGGGCGAAGTTAAGCATAATAGTGTCTGATTTAATATGATACTGCCATTCTAAGTGCTCATTTCTTATATATACAAGGTATCCCGTGCTTAACTGGACATAGTTAATCGGTAGGTATTATGGACCAACACCTTTTCATATCTGAAAATAAAAAAGTAATAAATTCATTTTACAGATATATCTCAGCATGCCATATATTTAATATCACATATCTCGGGCAATATTGAAATGATTTCCCTGTAAATTTCGCATGATAACAAAGCTACGTGGAAGTAACCTGAAATTAGACGGTCAGTTGAATAATTCAGGACCGAACACAAGTATTTTCTGTTTTTCATCAAAGCCAACTCCTTTTACACTGATTAGTGAAATGTTTGACTATATACAAAGCGATATATCGATATACCTTATAAGGTACAGAGTATATATATATATATATATATATATATATATATATATTATTTTTATTTTTATTTTTTATTTATTAGCAGCAGATTCAACATGTATACAGTTTTTTACATCATATTAAATATATAGACTTGCAATTATTGTATAATATTTAAATCCAGCTATCTATTCCTAAAATTACCCACTATTGCTAATAGTTGTAGATGCACAATTGTATTCAAAATACTGTGTGTGCACCCCATTCACATTGTTAAGTGTAACTTTTTCATTGAGGTTCTTAATTCTAGTTTACAAAGAGAAAAAGAAATATAAAAATAGATCAAACAAATTCAAAGCTATTATATTTTATCTTAAATTTTAGGAACTTAATACATTTAATGCTACAGGTATTTATATTACATAATTAATGGCGTATTGACTATCAATAATCCATCTTGTTAATTCCTTTTTAACAGTAGAATATCTCAATCTCTTAATACTATTTGGCACATCATTATAAACTTTTGGACCTATACAGTAAGCGTGACTCTGGCAAGCTGTGTGTCTAGGGTTTTGCAATTTTACTTTTGCATGAGCAGCACTTCTTGTATTTTGGCCATGCTGTAAGTATTCTTTGTAGAAATCATATTTCATCATAAATCTTATAAGTGATTTTAAATAGAGCTGCTCTAGGTTCAGTATTTTACTGTCTCTAAAAACAAGTTCAGATGAATACCGTTTCTTTTTGAAAAGCATAATTTTTATGATCCATTTCTGAGCTACCTGTAACTTGGATAACGTTGCTAAACTTGTATTTCCCCAAACTACGAAACCATAATTAATTACAGATTCTGCTAAAGCAAAATAAACTGTTTTAAGAGTTCTAAAGTCTAATATTTCCCTTAATTCATAAAATTTGTGAATAAGTTTTCTACTCTTTGTTGTAACATACTCAACATGATCTTTCCAAGTAAGTTCATCTATAATTATTCCTAGATATTTCAAGCTCGATTTCTTATTTATATATTTGCTACATGCACACTGAGGTGCAAAGTCACAATATGAGTCATGAATCTTAATGCAGTTTAGATTAGGCAAAGTACGCGAGGAAAGGGAAAAAGTCATAAAATTGGTTTTCTCAATATTTAGAGAGAGCAAACTAAAATCTAGCCAATTTTTAATTGTGTGCAATGCTCTTTCAGCTTTTAATTTGACGGAATCCCAATCTTCACCACTTACTAAAATACTCGTATCATCTGCAAAGCAATAGATAGTTATGTTTGCATCATTTAATTGTTCCATTATATCATTTATGTATATTATAAACAGCAAAGTTGAGAGAACCGTACCTTGTGGCCCCCCATCATTCTACCTTCAAAATATTACTTTCTGACCCGAGACATTTGTGATTTGTTCACGTCCAGAAAGATAGGACTTTATGAATTTATTTGGAATGCCCCTTATTCCCAGATTATCGACCTATATATATATATATATATAGTATACTGTAAATAGAGCAAAACTGCACCGACACCAAGCATATTACTAGGCAATCAATGGCGTGTAGATGGTACCTACCATAGCACCAGAGTCGGCGGTTATCTAGC